GGCCGGCTGAAAGTGTTACAAAGTTTCAAACTGCCAGCTCAGAGGCCGGCAGCGCAGGCGCAGGCGGGGAACGTTGGCTTCCTCCTTCAATGAAGGAAGCAAGCCTCATGTTCGCTTTAAGCTGCCTGGCTGCCGGCCGCCATCTTGGCTGTCAGTTAATTTACATATCTCCCTGATTAGCCAATGGGAAGGGTAGCGGTCGTACGCCAATTACCATGTTTCTCTTTTATTAGTGTAGATTATGACATGATTACCACTATTGTGTTAGATAACACCTCCATCATATCACATAATTACCATTTCTTTTTGTGGTGAGATCATTTAAAATTTACTGTCATTACATGTAGATTTATTTGTTTTTTATTTTTAATCTCATCAAGGATATGTGGTTTTTAAAATTGATTTTAGAGAGAGAAACATAGAAGTGAGAGAAAAACATTGATAGGTTGCTTCCCGTACACACCCTTGTATCCCTCCTTAATGTTTTCTTTTTTATTTTCAGGAGTGTTTAATATTAATAAAGATATTGTTATCAATTAACCTTTTACCTACCATTTTTACTACAGATAAGTCTTTAGCATTTATTGTATGTCTTTCCAATTTAGTTGCTTTTTTTTGACATGCAGAAGCTTCTAATTTTTATGTAGTCAAACTTTTGATTGTTTTTCTCTGTGACTTATCTTTGAAAGCATTTAAAATTACTCTTGCATAAGCATTTATGAATGTTAACAGAAATCAAAATAGGAGATAAAAATGTATCCACAATCTTCCCAGCACATCAAATTAAAGTGTTTGTCCCTAGAATTCTTGTCAGTCTTTTCCACATGTACATAATTTGAGGTGGTTGTTATCACTACTTTGACACTGTTCTTGTGTTCTAGGCTTGCTTTCTTTATTTTCCACTAAATGTTATCATCTGACAATATCCTTGATGCATCTTTCTTTCAGACTCCCTCTGCGCTTGCTCTTGCTTTTTAAACATTTTCTATTTCTTTATTTCTGTTTTAGCCAAGGACATCTGTTTAGAGCCCACTGGGGCTCTTTTGGCCCTTCTTCCTTCACTTGCAAAATCTCAAGTGATTTGGCAGCTGCCAAGGAGATTCTTATAAGGTGTGCATTCCATACTGGCTATGTGTCTGACTAGCTGTTTGGTCTTGGACAATTTACTTCATCTCTCTGAGTTAATATTTCTTCTGTAGCCGAAACCGGTTTGGCTCAGTGGATAGAGCGTCGGCCTGCGGACTGAAAGGTCCCGGGTTCGATTCCGGTCAAGGGCACGTACCTGGGTTGCGGGCACATCCCCAGTAGGAGATGTG